ACAGCTCCAATAAATCAGAGCAAGAGTCGACGTGTCAAACCCAGCCCACCGTGGCCAAGGAGAAGAACTCCGAGGCCGATTGACCAGGCCACAGTTCTGGAAGCTGCTACCGAAAACGATTTCCCTTTAATCAGAAACCAGCAGCCCTGGTCAGCCGGACTGTTTTTGATTCCAAATGTTATGCTGAATGTGATGTTTGAGGTAAAAGATGTACTGGTGGAGATGCACTGGGTCGAGGTCAGAACAAAGAGCCTAACTGAACCAACTCTGCACTTCCTCAAGGAACACACTGCTGAGGTCATCCGCAGTGTGGACAGCTTTCCAACATTTAGTTTTCATTCTTTTTTGTCCAGGTTACTTTTAGTGTTTTTTCTAGCAAATTTTGCAGGTAAATAAACTTGAAACTCAAGGACTTCATCATTGTTACCTGCCTGCGTAACACACTGTATAGCCACAAGAGGGTCCCACACTTTTACTTTTCTTCCTGATTCTCAAACACCTTGTAAGTCAAGTGCAGGGATTTCCCTAATGGTAATATGTTGACAAGTTACTATTATGTACATTTTTTAGATCTGGTATTACAATATTAACTGGGCCGCTCAGGGGTTATAACTGCTCACGAGCCAGACGTGTTCCGTGTATCCCTTGGTTTTGGTTCACGCGTTCAGAGAGCAAAACATCATATAAGTCCGCACACAAATAACACTTTATTTTTTTGTGTTTCCGCCTCTTACATGAATGAGTAGAAATCACGGAGGGGAACAAAAGCACTGGACTTAACTGGACAAAACGCTTTTAATCACTCAGTCTTTTACTTTGAATTAAATTAGCTGAGTTCCTTTTAAATAGGTAAAAATTACGTTACTTGATATGGAACTTCTCAACTCTTGAATTTTGTTTATTTACAACTTATTCCCACACAGTCTTTTATGATTAATTCGACAGCACAATTCTAGAAGAAGGAAATAACGTGGCATTCTTATGTCCATTAGTTGTAATTTCAGGATAGACATGTTTCCAAGAGGTCCGTTCTGGGCCACTGGATGAATTATATCATCTAATATATAAATATAATATTATTAATTAAAATATATATATTATTATTTTAATATATAAAGATATTATTATATATATATATTTATTATTATTATATATATATTATCATATTAAAAATTATAGTATAGAAAAATTATTTAATTATTATTAAGATCATACAGTAATATTATGATATAATATATCTATATATATTAATATTATAGATATATATATATTCTATATATAGTTTTTATTTTTAGTGGGGATAGCTTACAACTGTTTTCCCATAGCTTTTAATATTTGATCATAATAAAATCTGTTTACTAGGCATGTGCGACTGGGGCGAAGTATGCAGATGTAAAATTGAGCGACATGTAGTTGAGGCCCTGGTTTAGATATAGACTCAGCTGAATTTGTCGCGATTTTCTAGTTTGTGACCTCCCTTTACAATGGAAATAAAAGAAATGATTATTGCGAAATTGCCAATAATTCTTGCCCCAGTTCTGTTTTTCAACATCGCCCCTTTAGCGCATGGTTTAGTGTGAGAGGGTGAGCTCGCAGACGCTGCATGAACATAAACCCATCTGTTCCTAGTCCCCTGGCTAAAGGTACTATATTAAGCGCCATCTTGCTTGGTAGCTGCTACGTAGAGTGGTGGAGTTTGCTGCTGGGGGGGTTGTCCCTATTACATCTACGCCAATTGCATACTTGGAACCTCTCCCTGTAATACAGGGCGCCGTTCGCGTTTGGCTTGCTTTTCTTCGCGTTTTTAAAAACTACATAGTTCGGGATAGCAATCGAAACGACTCTGGAGGCGGCCAAGTGTTTTAGAATTACAAGCTCTGCAACAGAAAGCACGTGGGTAAGTGGCAACATACGATTACTTTGAATACTCAGAACAGGAGATGATTCGATACAGAGGTGAAACTGGGTCAAAAGACTGGTTCTCTGTCTCTGCCTCAGTGCATTAGCGAACTGTACATACTTACATAGCTTTAACAAACGGATTCCATGCTGTTATTGTGTACTTTGTGTGTCCAAGTCGCGCATGTTGTAGGTCGGTTTCCTCCCTGTATTACTGCATTAAAGTTGTTAGGTTTTCTGCCCAAGTTGTGAAGTTGGTCAACATGGATTGTCAGAACTGGTCTGCTCAGTTTCGCACACCAACCTACTCAGCTAGTTCCGATTGAAACCGCATCTATGCACCACTATGCGAGTAAAAAAGAAAGGCAGAGACCCCTGCGACCTTGCTGCAATTCAACGTTGAGAATATAGAATATGATGATCAGGGCGTGGTCGCGGGGAATGTCCTTTTACATAAGGACTTGACAATTTGACCACGTATGGCTGGGCTGTGTGATCATGTGGCTAAACTGTGCACACTGTGAGGCATATGCCGGGAGTGTTGTGGCAGGAGACGTGTCTGTATATGTTTATTTATTTATTTGTGCACAAGATTAGCGCGTTAGTATCTGCGTGACGTCAGCCTCAACCCTGCCGCCCCTTTCACCACGTGCCGTTCCGGACAACCCCCGCTACATAGATTGTTTTGTAAAGAAGATTCTTCACTCCCTATATCTGGAGCAGTAGACGGGAAACTCTCTATGCTCAGAATGGAATACTGAAGTCGTGATTTATTTCAGAACTTTAACTACTGTATTTACGTCGGTCGGGGCAAGAATAGTCCCTGTTGAGTTCTCCTTCGCTGTGACGTGCTCAAAGTGAGAGCTCCTACTGCCCACCAGAATCTGAGGTGTAGCCGTAGAGCCAGCGCCTCCTTTAGAGAAGGCGAAACTAGGGCACTTTACATTGTGCAGTTATATAATGGACAACGAGAAAACTCTTTTGTTTTAACGAAATGCGTGTGTCTGCTAAATAAGGTAAAAGAACACACACGCTGGATGAGGAACCACGACGCACGCAGTAGTTTGCATTACGCACCAGCAACCCCCAAATAGTAAGTAGTCCTTATAATGACGTGTCCACAAGCGATTAAAAAAATAAGAAGTCAGTTGATAGACAACGATCACCTGAGTTGTTTTAATTGACGTCATCATGCACTGACTATTTGCAGAGACTAACAGTCGTAAAGAAAGCATTAGGAGTTTAGTCCACTTTCTTGAACCCCTGCACTAGTCTATGCACTACACCAACCCCCTTTTACCTCTAAACCGCGTCCCTTATTGTTTAAAATGGTCTAAACACATTGGGATACAAACAAAATGGCTGACCTGAAGTTTGGCCTCTGGTGACACTCATTTTAGTCCTTAATTTCTAAGGAGAACAGTCTGCTCAGAGAAAAGATCAAAAGCCAGACTGTTTGCGTACATATGAAGTTATTTTAGCTGGTATCTGGGATTTTGATAGCTATTTGACTGTAGAATGGATCTTGCAAATGTTTCTGGAAATTATATATAGGGCCCTGTAACAAAAGCGAAAAAGTCTCTAAGCATAACCCATGTAAAAGCCTCTGTATGTTTTTTGGGAATTGTTAACTCCAAACTCCACAAACATAAAGTACAGTGTCGACAACTCGACTAGGCTAGTTCAATATTGTTTAAGTTGATTGAACAAAGGGGGACACCTTTTTAATTTTATTCTTAATCACATTAACAGTAGTTTGATTTAGATTTAATAAAAAATAAATGAAAATTCGCTGTGCATGCAGCATATGTTGGGCAGAGGTCCCTGACAGTAGGATTACCATTACCACACAGATACACAGGGTAAGAAAACTGTAACGCAGATGGGTAACTGTGTGTTCTTTTGACAGAAGATACTTTAAGTAAAGCGTTATCCTACACAGAGCCCATAAGACCCAGTGGAGAAGTTACCAGCGATAGTAAATAGAACAAAATCCCAGGAGTGCGTCCTAGTTTGAATACGACCCCCACAGCCACCAGCCTCTGTGCCTCTGTGCCTATCCCAGTCTCACCCTCTACCCTGTGTCAATCCCAGTCATGGAGCTTTACCTATGGCCACGGCACTCGCCTACACCTGCCGCTAAGGCCTCCTGCCCCCACAAAGAGTAGAGTTTCCACCAGGAGCAGACCCTCCTTGGCCCACCAGCCCACCTCTGCCCCTGGTTCGATCCAATATTCTCCCTTTCATGCACGACCGATCAACATCACTTGCGTTTGCTCAAAACGGCTTATTACTAGTGTTCACAGATCAGCAGAGACCCGCATTCACCTGCTTCCCCTGGCTCCATCGTATCTCCCTCACATCTCAGGCACTACCTCCTCAGCCCGCACTTTGCTGCAGCAGGCCCACCATCATGAACGGATCACCCAACCAAAGTCTGCCCCCTCGATGAATCCCAACAACTGGACAGTAAAAAGGCGTCCTGGCGAGTAGGAAAATGTCTTTTTTAGAACTTTTTGACTCTATGGAGAATAAATACTGCTCATAGTCAAATCAAATGTGTTTTATGATACAGGGCCAGGTACCCAGAGAGGTCCACTAACAAACTTAGAAGAACAGGTAATACAATGTTTACCTATGAGGTGCTGGCAGGGGGTCAATACCTAGCCTGGATCAGTCAAATAATTCGGCTCCATAGCTCCATAGTACCCCCAGGCTTTCGCAAAGTGATCAGACTGGTTCCCAGCTTGATATTGCCGGCCCAGCCCAGAGCACTCACTGTGTAAACATTGTAATTACCTGTTCCTTCTCAGTTTGGTTGTGGACCTCTCTGGTACCTGCCCTGTAACATAAAACAACATTTGTTTGAATATCGAGCCATGTATTTATTCTCATAGAGCTCAAAAAGTCTAAAAAAAGACATATCCTACCCGCCAGGACGCCTTTTACTGTCCCAGAGTTTGGAGTCATCGAGGGGCAGCTTTGGGGTTGGATGATCCTTCATGATGGGGCCTGCTGCAGTCGAAAGTGCGCTGAGGAGGTAGTGCCTGAGACCAGTGAGGGAGAAACGATGGAGCAAGGAAGCGGGTGAACCTGAGGGCTCAGCTGCGAACACTAGTATTAGCCGTTTGAGCAAGGAAGTGCTGTTGATGTCTGCAGAAGGGGTTGATGATCAGAAACCAGGCAGAGGTGGGCTGGTGGGCACAAGAGGGTCTGCTCCTGTGGAAACTCTCTCTTTGTGGAGGGCAGGAGGTGCGGACAGGTGGAGGCGAGTCTGCGGGGCCATAGTAAATCTCCATGACTGGAGTGACCACAGGTATGAGGGTGGACTGGGATAGGCACAGAGGCACCAGAGGGCTGGGTGGCTTTGGGGTCGTATCAAAGTTGGAACGGCACTCCTGGATTTGTTCTATTACTATACCTGGTAAACTTCTCCAGGGGTCTTTTGCTCTTGTAGTAGCTTTTCCTTAACAGTCATCTTCTGTCAAAAGAAACACAGTAAGCCATTTTGTTACAGTTTTTTCACCAGTGTATACGGTGTGGTAAAGGTAATCTACTTCAGGACTCCTGGCCACCAATGTGCCAGCACAGGATTTTATTAATTTTTATAAATAAATCAACACTACTGTTAATGGGGAAAGGAATAAACTAAAAGATGTGTCCCCCCTTTTTTCAATCAACTAAACAATTAATTGAACTAGCCTAGTCGAGTTGACTGTACTTTATTGTGAGTTTGGAGTTCAAACAATTTCCCCAAAAAAAATCAGAGGATTTTACATGGGTTCTGCTTAGAGCTTTTTGGGACTTTTGTTTACAGGTCGCCTATATATAATTTTCCAGAAACAATTGCAGAACATCTACAGTCGAAAAAGATCAAATCCCCAGCACACAGCTAAAATAACTGCAATCTGTACGCAAACGTTGGCTTATGATCTTCTCTGAGCAGACGTGATGTCCACTTAGAAGTAAGGATAAATGAGTCACCAGAGGCCCGAAACTTCAGTCCAGCATTTGTTTGTATCCCAATGTGTTGTCAGACCATTTTTAAACAATTAAGGACGCGGTTTAGAGGAAATAGGGGGTTGGTGTAGTGAAAAGACTAGTGCATGGTTCAAGAAAGGTGGATCTCTAACTCCTATTGGCTTTACTTTACGAATGTTAGTCGCGTTGCAACATTGTCAGTGCGTGATGAACGTTAAAACAACCAGCGTGTTGTTGAGTCTATCAAACTGACTTCTTATTTTTAATCGCTGGAACGTCAATTATTAAGACTAGTACTATTTGGGGTTCTGGGGCCGTATGCAAACGACTGCGGTGTGTGTTCCTTTTTTTTTTAAGAGAACCAGCAGCAATTCGTGTAAAACAAATGAGTTTTCTGTGTCCCATTATATAACTGCAAATGTAAAGTGCCCTAGTTTTCGCCTCTCTACAGGAGGCGCGGCTCGTGACGGACTACACGATCATAGTCCTGGTGGGCAGTAGGAGCTTCTCACTTTGAGCACGTCACAGCGAAGGCGAACAACAGGGACTATTCTTGCCACACGCTGGTTAATACAGTAGTCTGAAATAATCACGCCTTCAGTAAGAGCAAGAGAGTTTCCCGTCTACTGCTCACTAATAGGGGAGTGAAGAAGCGTGCTTTACATAACAGCTATGTGGCGGGGTTGTCGGACGCACGTGGTGTAAGGGGCGGGGTTGAAGGCTGCGTCACGCAGATACTAACGCGCTAATCTTGTGCACAAATTAATAAATTAAACATATACAGACACGCTCCTGCCACAACACTCCGCATATGCCTCAAACAGTGTGCACATTTAGCACACAGATCAACACCCCCACGCCTAACGAAGGTCAAATGTCAAGTCCCTTATGTAAAAGGCAAAGTTCCCGCGCCACCGCCCCTGATCATCCATATGCGATATTCTCAAAGTTGAATGAAGCCAAAGCAGGGTCCTCTGGCCTTTATGTTTTACTCGCGATAGTGAGTGCAGTAGAAGTCCTGTCTAATGGAACAGCATAAAGGCTTGGTGTGCGAACAGAGCAGACCAGTTCCTGAATCAACTGTCCATAAACTTTCACAACTTGGGCAGAAACAAACATCTTAAAGCAGTAATACAAGGGAGGAACCGACCCTAAACAGGCGCGCACTTGACACAACAAAGTACACAATAACATCAGATCCGTTTGTTAAGCTATGTCATGTAGTGTACAGTTCTCGTAATGCACATGTGGCAGAGAAACAGTCCTTTCTGACCCACAGTTCACCTCTGAGTATCGAATCACTCCTGTTGAGTATTCAAGTAATCGTATGTGCCACTTACCACGTGCATTCTGTTGCAGAGCTTGTAATTTACTAAAAGACTTGGCGCCTCCAGTAGCGTTTCGATGCTCATCCCGAACTATGTAGAATTTTTAAAAACGCGAAGAAAAGACACGCACAAACGCGAACTGCGCCCTAGTATTGACTGCAGCAGGGACGTGGAAGAGGAGCAGACCAGTGCAGGGACGCGGAGGAGGAGCAGACCAGTGCAGGGACGCGGAGGAGGAGCAGACCAGTGCAGGGACGTGGAAGAGGAGCAGACCAGTGCAGGGACGTGGAAGAGGAGCAGACCAGTGCAGGGACGCGGAAAGGAGGAGCAGACCACAAGCAGCCAGACGGAGGACGCCAGGGACGCGCCGAGTAGCGTGAGTAGACGAAAACGATTCCTCCAGACGATTCTCTGCAAGGCTTCAGGAGCATGCGAGGCTTCGAGAAGGCCGAGAGTGGGAGTTGCTCCGCTTTTAAGCGGCTGCCTGTCCGGCACGGATGATTGGAAGGGGGCGTTTGCTGAGCTATAGGCTGGGGAAGCGAACCGGCCTGGAGGGGGTAGCTTTTGGCTGACGTCTACCAAATTGAATTTTCGCGAGCTACATGAGTAGACTTCACATAGGACATGGTTAATGCTTGATCCAGAGTGGACATTTCAATAACACTAAACCATCTAGACTCTGAATGGATTTTGAAAAGCTACTGATGAACAGGAATAATCATTTTTTCTGTGATCTCACCTGTGTTTTGTAATTTGATGCTATCGATACAAAACTGAGACAGGTGATGATTATTATTATTATTATTTCTATTATCATTATTATTTTGAATGAATTGTCTTGTCCTGAGAATATAAACCATATAAACCACATCTATATGTTTAGAAACATATTTGTAAACAGGTAAAACTCTGAAAATTAGAATACCGTTCGAAAACCAACTTGACTCATGATGATATGTTGAACATTTACTTGTCATAATGTTGATAATTGGCTCACGGCTTGTAAAATGGACCATAAGCTACAATTTTCAAATGTTGACAAACAAAGCATGGGAACATTTAACTTTGCATGTAATGCAAGTTCAATTACAGTTTTATACAAAGCACACTGTGTCTATCCAATTCCCTGTGAAACTGTGTGTTATTGCTCTCTGCTGTTTCTTGCTTGCACATAGCGCGCAAATGGCGACGTGGCACGCTTCTGCCAAAACAATTTCCAAGTGGTAACTTTTGTTTGTTACTTACGTGGCAATAAAAATTATTCTGATTCTGATTCTGACAAATGAATACATTTTTTCATGATAATCTAATATTCTGGTTAACAAGCAAATCAACTGATATCAAATGTTATTTTCCTGGGGATCTTTCTGATTCTGAAAACAGGATAGGAGAATGCACTGTATTAGTCTTGGAATCCCCCATGCTGCTGGGTGCGTGCAAATAATTTGGAACTTTACAAAATCCCGGAAACTCAGCCTGCAATTTTCGCATTGATTAGGGGACCTATCACAGAATGAGGAGAGATGAGGATAATGCAATAATCCACAAACTGAGGCCCCGTTTAGACGAAGATGCTGCAGGGACGTGGCAAGGCAAGTAGGAAAAATGTGTGTGGTTTTGTTTGGAAAATTCTCCTCCGTGTAGCGCTCCAAGCACACGTAGCATCAGTATACCCACCGCCATTGAATCTTGTAGCTTGTTACAGCTCCAACATGACGCTTCCCTGATGTATCACTTGCACAAACAGCAGTAATCTTCCCTTCCCCAGCTCAATAAACAACTATGGACAATCTTAAAACACACCTCTCCTACAAGAAAATGAAAGGACGGTTCCCAGACTACATAACACGGTACAGCAATTTTATAAAGTCTTCCATTTACAAACGTGTTGTAAGACCACCAAACCAAAACTTATTTGTTGGCATTGTCTGCAGCGCAGTCTTGCACCCATAAAAAACTAGTATAATATACTAATACACCAAGCTAAAGTAGGCAACATGTGAACTATTCTTTGAGGGGCTCCTTTAAAGGGGGAATATGTCACTCATTCACGGGGCATTTTGGATCAACTGCAAGAACACCACACACCACTATGTCGCCCACATCTGAACACCATTTTCCCACATGTCTAGTAGCCGACATCTCCAACTACTTATGGCATCGCCTCCTTCCGATAGTTTTGATTAAACGCAGGCTACATGAGCGCTGGCTTTATGATGAATGACCTGCCCCGGAGACGTCCCCACACTGTGCACACGGAGAGCAGCTTACACACACAAACGCCTGGGAAAGGAACACATACAGGGCTGTGTGCTCGCTGCCACGTGAGCCCTGTGTAAAGTAGGTCACGCAGTAAGTCAGGAGTGGCAAGTAGAAGCACACAAACACCATATAACTCCATTACCTCATATGCTGGATTAGTGTCAGCAGGGCCATCCATCTGTCTGGGTTAAGTGGACCAGGCAAACAAATGTACTAGTCGTAATATTTCAAAAGCAGGTATGTTCAACAGTTGGACTTATTGCATTTGCAGTAAACCAGTAGAGTAAGCTGCAGTATTAGAGGTATTAGTCTGAATGTATAGTCCCTGTATGTTTTTAGTTCTGTATTCACGTTTCATTTGAAACCGTATGGATAACAAGCTAACATTGTGTAATAAACTATAACACCATGTAACCGACTGCAGTGCAACGATGTGTGTAAGAACAACTCTATGTCTTTCATCAACACAAGTCATTTACTGTTTCTCAATCAATGACCTCATATATACAAAAGCTGTGCTGAAAATTTATTACAGATACATTACATTTTCATAGCAAGTTTTCACTTTTTTTGGAGCAAAGAAGCTCATTTTACTCAATTACAGTCTCCTCAGATATGTCCTCATCAGATCATAACTCTGGTAACTGGTAAAATAAAATGCTGATTCAGACTGGTTGCTATAAGTAACAGACAAGGGATTACCTACAGTCACATTGATTAAAAATCTACCAATCAAATTGGTTCATCTGATATTTGTTAGATTAACCAATGTATTGATCAGTTAGTTGTGGGGCAAATGATTTACTTTATGTTGGTTGGATTGACAAATATATTGGTTAGAATGACCAATTTGCACCAGTTGTGCCCTAAACCAAACTACAACTAGTGGTTGAAAGTGAACACAACC